AGCTTGCGACACCTCAGAATGAAACGATAACGTATAAATATGTCCTAATAAGGTTTATTTTAACTCAAACTCAGATTTAGGCACTCTTAGCCTGGCCGAAGGAGAAGGAGATGGGAGCGTGAGAAATGGCGTGAACCACTGGAGCAGCGTGGATGGCGTGAACAACTGGAGCAGCCTGAACGGCGTGGACGGTGACTGGGGCAGGCTGAACGGCCTTCACGACGACCGGGGCTGGGCCCTCGACGGCAGAGGAGGCGACCTGAACGTCAGCGGGGTTGGAGCTCTTGGTGCCTGGCTCGTTGGTCTCGACGGTGGCGTGGAAGCCGGTGGCGTCGGCGGTGTACCTCACGGTACGGGTCATTCCGGCGGCATCGGTGTAGCTGTAGGATCCCACCCTGGCGTTGTTGGCGTCGGCACTCTCCTCTTGGGCGATGCGGGTGCCGAACTCGTCGGTGTTGTCGTACGCGAAGCTGTATGGCTGGGGTGGCTGAAATTAAAACGGTGTTGTGAAGATGAACATTAATATGTGACCTGAGACCACATAAAATAGTGATTGAACACACTCTAGCAACGGAAATTTTGATGTTGTTTATTTATTCAGCAATGTTCCGGTCATGCTTTGGAGTAGGAACTCAACTGGTTCGCACTTTAGAAGGGAACATTCGCCAGAACTGCGGGACTGCAGACTAAGAGTCTGTAGCGTGCATCGCGCTGTAGTGAAACAGGTAGGACGCTGATCGATATTGTAATGGGCTAGGGCGAGTATCGAGCCAGAGAAGGGTCCCTCGGATGTGCAGTGCGAGCTATCGCTCAACGTGCTGATAGCTGCGGGGCAATAAGGAACTAAAACCATTTTTTGTGTACTCTAATCACCCTTTGGTCGAAGTTCGCCAGCCCAACTGTTTCTTAAAGGCACCATTAGTCGAACGGTATAAAATTTAGGCCTCTTTTGGACTCAATGTGGCGTCATAGTTTCTTGTGAAAAATGTGCAACTATATTTGAAAGAGCCCATAAAATTCCGACAGCTTGCGAGATTTCTATAGCTGTTTTCTCTGAAGACAAAACCTTAAGGTTGATTGTATTTAAGTTTATATCTGATTGTACACTTTCTAATCTGTTCATTTAATTAATTTGTCGCAGCAAATGTATCCGTAGTGAGATATATGACGCATCTTTTACGTTCGAAGGAAAGTCATTATTACTTACGTATTCTTCAACCACTCCGGCAGCCACATAGGCGAAAAGGCAGCAAAGAAGGACCTGGAAAAGGAGGGCGCCGTTAAATTTCGGTCACTTGCTCACTCGCTTTAACGGTCCGTAACATCGGTAAATCTATACAGCTAAATTGTTCTTGTATTACGGTCGCACCTTGGAGAACATGATGAGAGATGAGAGAGATACTTTTCTGGTTAGACACAGAAAGAACCTGGTGGTGATTCTTTGCTTGAGGCGGCTTTTATATACCTTTGGTTGAATTCCTCTGCCGACGACGAGCTTTTTAACAATTCAGTCGTGTAAGCATGGCAAAGAGACAGGTTTTCAGATTCTCACGGGACGCGAGCGAGCATCGACATGGGTGTTCGAGTAAGTGCAACGGCCAAGACTGGTGCATTGCCAAGGCGGACGGGGGGATAAGGTGGAGTATGCGGATTTGGTGACTGCCCTGATTGCTAATTTGAAGCCAAGAGGAAATTGCAGTACTTTAAAGCCCTTGACTACTCGGGTACACTCGTGTGACTGCCGACTGAATTTGTTTGTTTGTTTACATTGGAATTTTATTAATGTTCACGGCGCATTGTCGGCAAAGTTAATGCATTTACCCTAAAGATTTGGTAACTTGATAAACTGATTACTTTGTGTATGGCAAGCGTTGTAGAAATAGCCGGTGCCAAATCATACCCCAAAGTGTCTTGACTTAACATGTAAAAAAATTAACGGAAAACTTTTGACTTTGTAATGACTTGGACTTGAAAGTGATACGCCGAAGTAACATTCAACTGATGGTGCCTGATATCCACCGTGAAATTGTGGATTGGGAAAAAATTTAACATAATATGAATATTGACAAAACTAGGTCTTAAAAGTGTGTTACTAACATTTATGACAACCGGAGACAAAATTATTCATCTAACGTTTATAGAAACCAAATATTAATTTTTTTTCTGACTGATATTTGTCGCCGCAAACACGAATAATAGTTTTAAAAAAGTGTATTGTTATTTCAGGACCTGAATTCATTATTGATCTTAAAAACAGCAGTAGAATATTCGTAGCACTAAATTTTATGGTGCTTATCACTGGAAGAATTACTAGCTTGATCCCACAGTCGTTCTTTTTTTATAAATATAATAAACAATCACATACAGAAAATAACGTTAGCTCTCTTTACTAATCTTGCATGTGTTTAAGAAAATACTTAAACAGCATGCTACTTCAATCTTTTTATATCAAATATATTAATCATTTCCAGCCTTAATAAAACCCTGATTTATTACGATGTTTTACTTTTATCACCTCCGTATTATTAATCGATACCGCAAATTTAGAAATCCGTATCCAGATGGTTGCTTTACGTTTATGAAGAATAACTTATCCGACATCGTATATTGAAATTTTATTTAAATGATTAACTTACTATTCAGGAGTCCGTGAAACTCTTCTGTGTGCGCACCCCACATATGGCTGCTTAAGGTTCGGCTCCAATTCTCTATAATGTAAAATGATGATTCAGGATAAAATATATTTTTCTAACTTAAGTGGTGGTTACTTAGGCACTCAGCCTTTTACTAAAGGTAATCTTAATGCATCGTACTATTATTTTATCTGCGCAGTCGTTGGAGGTCACGAGTCCTACAATGGAAATGTCTATGAGCAATTCGTGTATATATAACAAGTTTAAAGTGCATAGTCTGGATATTTCAATGTAGCCAAACTCGTAGTTCCCCATAATAAAGAATGCACTGCCAGGAATAAAAACTATGCATTTGTGACCTCATACTCCGGCATCGCTCGCATGAGTTTTACGCCCCTACGATTGAGAAACCTGGCCTAATATTTGGCAACCTAGAGGCCTAACATTGTCTGTGTAATGCTTTGCACTACGGAGTTAGGGTCAAGGTACTTTATATGTGATGAGCCAAAGAAATAGACAAGTGCGGTTTTTATCAAGGTCCCCATCTATGTGCCATAGATGAGCGAAAAGATTCCATATGTCAAAAACACCAGCAGTGATGCCTACTCCTGGCATTTAACTAGCTATCCAAGAGTGGAAACCGAATGGTAGCATCATTTGGACAATTGCCGGTTACTATTTACTGGACATGACCAAAAATATCTAAACCACACTTAAAAAAACATGTATTCAAAAAACAGTAGAAGAGGATTTTAAAAAAAGAAACGAGTTAACGCGAGTTAACGGTAAATTCTATCGTAGTTGTGACCTTTGATTTGAATATCACAAGCATTTGACCCAAATAAACGCAACAAAAATTAAAAAAAAAACCCTGCAGGGTTTGCCATCACAATTAGACGTTTTAATTTCCTTGCGCGTGTCGCTTGTGAGGAAACGCGTGCAGTGTTTTGACTGCTCCGTTAAGGCTTGAGGAAGACGCGGAAATGCTGAAGTCCCAGTATAAGAAGTCACGATTCTTTCCTCCACGGAAATGCACCGGGAAGGTGGGGCTTGAGCGCTATTTTGAAGGTGCTGTTGTGACTACCTGGGGCAACAATATAAAATTTAGCTTTGATATTCGTGGTCCTGGAGGTCAAATGAAGATTTAAAAGGTTTTCTCAAATACAAATCCGCTCCAGTATCTCCTTAACACGCCGTCAATTTTTCTTAGTGGTATCGGTGTCGAGTTTGGGGGACAAGTTAGATTCATTGGTGTTATATTTAATACTACTGTGACATGAGGCGCCCCTATAAACTCATTCTGCCCCACCCTTTCTAAGAATATTAGAATTATTTTTGAAAAAAATTCATATTCTAACTATGAAAACTAAACTAACATTGCACTATCTCTTTACATTCGCACTTAAGCTACTTTTTTCGTTTATGATAACACCATGTGTCTAGAGTTCAAACATTCATAACTTTGTAAAAGAACGCATGTGCTCTCTTATGATTATCATATCAGAATCTCCGCGACCATGAATTTATAAAGCATCCTCACGCATCACCAAAAGTGCAAAGCAATAAAGCTATTGAACGACACGAAATTACGACCTTTGAGCTCGAGCACATTTTGCCAGTCACCTGTCAGCAACTGCTTTTCTTTAGTTTCAAAATACGGTGATATAGTATCATAAAAGCGGTAACGACCTTGTGGAAGAAAAAAAATACTGGCCTAGGAAAGCTTCATTTTAGATCTAAAATTCCATTACCCTGCCTCTCTGTCTCTCTTTTTCTATTTCTCTCTTTCTCTATCTTTGTCGCTCTGCATGTGTGTGCAAGTAAGCGAATTTTATTGTTTTAACTGACGAATGAAATAGATGGTAGAAGCGTAGTTCAACTGCGATTTCCTCAGAAAAGCACCGCAGTTTGGTTAAGGTTAATATAAATATTTTCTTGCGTGATGATATTTTTTTAACAGTAACAAAATACGTGCGCACGGAAAGCATAAAATGACAAGAAATAGTGCAAGAATAATAATTTTCGAATTGCGTTTGCTATAAATATTAGTTTTAAATTATCATATTTAAAGCGTTGTGATTTAGATCACTCCCTAAATTGTGATTTATTTACTGATGAAAAGCACAATATCAGGCCGCTTGTTGCTTATCTTAAACACTGGTTTATGCCGCTCCTGGGCCCACGTCAGCAATGCTTTCTGTAGTACACTCCTTGATGTCAAGTCGCAAATACTAAACACTAAAAACAAACTGTGACGTAGAAACGAAATACAGACCAGACCACCACCACAAAAGATAAATAAATACACAAAAGTATACATGTTATTATAAATAAAACCTTGGTTCATTTTACCATAAATAGTCAGATTTAGGCGCTCTTAGCCTGTCCGAAGGAGTAGGATATGGGAGCGTGGGATATAGCGTGACCCACTGTAACAGCATGGATGGCGTGAACAACTGGGGCAGCGTGGACAGCCTGGACGGTGACTGGAACAGGCTGAACGGCCTTCAAGCTAACAGGAACGGGACTCTTGACGGCGAAGGAGGCGACCTGCACGTCAGCGGGGTAGGAGCCCTTGGTGCCTGGCTCGTTCGTCTCGACGGTGGCGTGGAAGCCGATGGCGTCGGCGGTGTACTTCACAGCGCGGGTTATTCCTGAGGCGTCAGAGTAGCTGTAGGATCCCACCCTGGCGTTGTTGGCGTCGGCGCTATCTTCGTGGGCGATGCGGGTGCCGTGCTCGTCGGTGTTGTCGTAGGCGAAGCTGTATGGCTGGGGAGGCTGGAACGAACGCGGTCAAGTCGTGTTGAAGATGGATATGTCGCACGAGGAAATATGTGAGGTTTAGCTCCTCGATCGAGGTTTACCATATTATTAATTCGATTTTGTGAATATAATACATTTTAGAACATATGTTCCCTTTTCACTGATACGTTTTTTTATTTTTTGACGTGCTTCGAAATAAATATAATATTATTGAACAGTCGAACTTAAGCAAACACAAATTTGAAGTTGAATGTTTATACAGCGAGATGTATGTCTGACCTTTCTGTAGGAAATACTGGTCCTCTGTGTAAATACGAAGCTTACCGAGAGGATTTCTAACATTGGTTCTTTAACGTGCGTCACGCAGTAGTTATACGTGTGTGAAGGCCGTTACAATTCACATCCGCATTGAAATGGCGAGCGGTAGGTATCGAACCGAAAAAATGATTGTTGAGCTCTGCGTTGCGAGTTTACGTATACTGGGAGCTGCGGGCGTTAAGGCACTCCCACGTGAATTTTATAAACACGACTTTTCTTTGTTTTACGTTCGAGAGTCTGCATGATCCCATTAGTCAGATGCCATTCAAATATTTTTTTCAATAGTCAAAACCATACTTTTTTTACAACTAAACTACATATAATAGGGTGCCTTAACTAATGTTGACCTCTTCCAAGATGAGTAAATGAGCGAAACTTTTCTATTAAGCCATTTTAAAAAAATATTTTTTGTGCACTGTTTTACGAGTTTGTATATGTTAAATAATTTCTGGAAACGTATAACGTCTGCTATAATATGAGTATGTTGTGTTACAAAGAATGTCATATCAATACTTACGTATTCTTCAACCACTCCGGCAGCTACATAGGCGGAAAGGCAGCAAAGAAAGACCTACAATGAAAGCGCCACAGTTAAGTTTACGTGACAAATATTACTCTATTGAAAATTCCATCAAGCTACGTAATTTGGGACACTGACTGCCAGTCAGCAGCCTTGGTGGAACGTGATGGACCATCAGACGTCATCTGATGGTCCATCAGATGACGTCTGACTGCCACTGCCAAGGGAATTTCATCAACAACGGTAGCATTTATATAAGAGTAAAGCTATACGCACACATAAATATCGCCGAATGCCTCGATAAAACAAAATGTTTGAGAAAAAAAAAAAAAAAAAAAAAGCAGGACCACCGCGCATCGAACCCGCGACCGCTTGCGTAATAATCGTACACCTTACCCCTATGCTATGCTACCGCTTTGGAAACTCGATTTGACTATTCATTTTATACGAGATGCTTCGGCTGCAAATGCAGTTAAGCCGTCAGCATGTTACGCAAAGCACACGTACATCACTCGCCGTACTTCAGTTCTACTCACCTGCCATGTAGAGTACTTTCGCGTCGTAGAACGATCCTTTTGTTCGCGCGTCACCGGCCCAGTAGACCTGGTACACCTTGTCGTTTTCAACTACACCGCTAAAGTCCCTTACATCGTCGGAACTCACAACTGGCTGGGTCTTGTCGAATAGAAATTCTACTAAAACATAAGACATTGTAGAGCCCGGGCAGGATCGACAGGTTGGAGCAAGCGGGCAAACAAAACGAGTCGAGAGCGATTGTTCATGAAAGCTCTTCGAAATAGCCTTTGCTGCTGCCTAACACTTTCTTGAGTGAAGACTTGACATATTTAAGCATTCTCTCGCAGAAATTACCCCACCAGGTGTCTCTTTCGAAAATAATAAACTTTAACTGGATCTGACAATCCGCGAAGAAGCTCTGTACTTTTTGTTACATGATGTCGTCCACAGTTTCTTCAGATTTCTGGAAGCACGCAGAAATGTTTGCACGTTATACGAAAAGATGACTCTTCACATTCCTCTTCAAGCCACAAATCTCTGAATGGTCATCAAAAAGTTGCTGGTAGACATATCTGTCATCATTTCCAGGTGTTTGTCACGTCTGACTGCACAGGTGAAGTTGATGACGAAGGAAATATTGTTCCTACTTTGGTCATTTCTGCTGAAAGGTACAGCAAAATTAATAACTTTAACGTTAAATGCTCACAGAAAAATTGGTATATCTTTACACCCACTCGTCACATATAATACACACCAATACTTCAGTTTGACGCAAAGCTTATATATTGAGGTATTTAGCGCACAAGGTAGGAAGAAGAAGGACAGGACAGAAAAGAGCGCTACTCACAACTACGTTTACTAAGAAAAAGGGAAGAGAAAGAAAACACCTAAATAATCCGCCGCGGACTCGTGCACCTGCCACAGCCCCGTGAATGATAGCGGCTAGTTCATCCAGGCTCGTGCGGGCCCTTCATTGTTTGTTCAAGGAATTTCCTTTCCTTGTTTGTTAGCGTAACGGATTCAACGCTGATACAGTTCCTGTCCTCGCGAAGGATGTAGAAGGCCTCCAATACCTCGCGGGTCAATTTGTCTTTGTTCTTCCCCAGGATGTTGGTCTCACGGAATAATGGTCTGCATGTGCATTCCCTGCAATGGAGAGGAAGATTTCCGCCCACTGTAGCCTTCAAGGAGTAATCATGCTCCCGGAGGCGGTCATTGAGGCATCTGCCCGTTTGGCCTATGTAGCTCTTACCACACGAAAGAGGTATCTTATACACGACGCCCGAAGCGCATGGTAGGAATTCGTTTGCATGCTTCTTGGTGCACGTGGGTTTTGTGGTACCCTCAGCATGCGCATTCACTCTATTGCAAATTTGGCTCATTTTTTGTGGTGCTGAAAAAACTACTCTGACCCCATAGCGGCTTGCGACGTTCTTTAAATTATGGGACATCCTGTGAAGGTACGGTATTACAACTGGCCTTGTTTGCTTGACACTGGTCTTGTTGGACTGGAAGCCTTTTGCCTTCTTGACCAGAGCGTTTGCCACATCCGCCAGTAGGGCTGACGAATAGCCGGCTTTTGTTAGCCTCTCTACTTGCGTGGTGAAGCTGGCTGACATAGTATGACGACAAGACTTCCTTAGTGCCGAGCCCAGACACGTTAGAGCTATGCCCCTCTTGATGATTTTTGAGTGCGCCGAGCCGTAGTCTAGAATGGCTTTCTTGGAACGTGGGCTGTACGACCAACAAACATGGGTGTCCCCCAGGTGGAGTGAAAGATCCAGGTACTGAAGTATGTTTTCTTTGGGCACCTCAAATGTAAACTTAAGGCCGCCTCCGTACTCAGCAAAGGTCTCCATAATGTCTGCTACTTGTATGTTCATACGTTCGTCATCTTGAAGAATTACCAGGAAGTCGTCAACATACCTGGCGACCTTGTTCACATTTTTGCCTTCAAGCGCACTTTCTATCACACAGTCCACTGCTCCCAAGTAGATGTCACTAAGGACTGGGGCAACGCAGGAACCGATACAGACTCCTGACTTCTGCAGATAGCACCCATCCCGCCACCCAACTATCATAGACTTCAGGTAGAACTGTAGAAGCTCCATAAAGCTCTCAATGGGTACTCCGCTGGAACTTCGGAAAGCGAGCTCTCCATTAGCTTCTATACAATCCTTCACCGAGGTCAGTAGCTGGTCGTGTGGCAAGGAGTAAAAAAGATTCTCCACGTCAATGCTGAAAGCGGTTCTCTTCTCAGGACCCCCTAATCGGAGATATTCCACTATCTCCTCAGAGTTGGCAACCCTGAAGGGGTCTCTAATGCTTAGGGCGGACAGTTGTTTTTGAAGATAGAAAGCAACTTGCTTTTGCCACGATCCCTTTTCTGTGACAATGGCTCTAAATGGACAGGCCTCTTTATGTGTTTTTACGCTGAAGAAGACCTCGAGGTGTAAGCGCTCTGCTTTCCCAACTCTTGCGGCTAACTGGGTTAACGCTAGCCGCTCACACAGATTTTTTGCTTTATCTCTGGTTTTCTTCAGGGCGACTTGCACCGGTCTAAAATTTTTCTCAATAGCTGCCCTGGCCTTTTCGTTGTACTGGCCATCTGGCAACACTACAAAATGTCCTTCCTTATCAGATAACAGGACGCGTAGTCCATTAGTGACCATGTATTCTACCAAGGGCCTAAACGGTCCCACTGGTCCTCTTTTTTGCGGAACCTGAAGGTTATCCACGCACTCAGAGATGCACCTTGGTCGGTCCTCCTCTACTGTCCGGTATGCTACTTTCTTGGCTAGTGTGACCAACTCCGGTGGGCTCAAGACTGGCTCGTAGCAAAACTTAGGGCCTACCTCCAACCGCTTGCCAACATCCGGTGGAATCGTTACATCACCTAGGATTGTGAACTTGCCCGCCTGGGAGGGAACCTTGTCTTTCTTGGTTGGTAGATGGGGTCTAATGCTTTGCCAGAGGAACTCCGTAGCATCTCCCGCTGACTTGCTCATCCTACGGAAGTATCTTCGTTTTTGTCCATCATTGCCAGTACTGGAAGCACAGGCTACTCGCAGGCAGTCTCTGAAATATCTTTCCTGGCGCCAGTATTCCGATCGCAGCACACGGCATACCCTTCTCGTATGCCCAGTCGATGGAGCAAGGAAGCCGCACACACCTCTGAGTTCCACTGGGCAGGTACCTCTTCGAATGTGCCAAGAGGCCACCCGGGCACTACACACACAACGGGCGATTAGGTTAACAAGGATACATGGATCCGAGAAAGGAAGGTTGAAGCTTACAGGAGAAGTGCCCGATGCAAAAGAAATAAACTGCAGTAAAGTTGACATTTGGGCTAGTTGGTAGTCTAACATATTGAGGTATTTAGCGCACAAGGTAGGAAGAAGAAGGACAGGACAGAAAAGAGCGCTACTCACAACTACGTTTACTAAGAAAAAGGGAAGAGAAAGAAAACACCTAAATAATCCGCCGCGGACTCGTGCACCTGCCACAGCCCCGTGAATGATAGCGGCTAGTTCATCCAGGCTCGTGCGGGCCCTTCATTGTTTGTTCAAGGAATTTCCTTTCCTTGTTTGTTAGCGTAACGGATTCAACGCTGATACAGTTCCTGTCCTCGCGAAGGATGTAGAAGGCCTCCAATACCTCGCGGGTCAATTTGTCTTTGTTCTTCCCCAGGATGTTGGTCTCACGGAATAATGGTCTGCATGTGCATTCCCTGCAATGGAGAGGAAGATTTCCGCCCACTGTAGCCTTCAAGGAGTAATCATGCTCCCGGAGGCGGTCATTGAGGCATCTGCCCGTTTGGCCTATGTAGCTCTTACCACACGAAAGAGGTATCTTATACACGACGCCCGAAGCGCATGGTAGGAATTCGTTTGCATGCTTCTTGGTGCACGTGGGTTTTGTGGTACCCTCAGCATGCGCATTCACTCTATTGCAAATTTGGCTCATTTTTTGTGGTGCTGAAAAAACTACTCTGACCCCATAGCGGCTTGCGACGTTCTTTAAATTATGGGACATCCTGTGAAGGTACGGTATTACAACTGGCCTTGTTTGCTTGACACTGGTCTTGTTGGACTGGAAGCCTTTTGCCTTCTTGACCAGAGCGTTTGCCACATCCGCCAGTAGGGCTGACGAATAGCCGGCTTTTGTTAGCCTCTCTACTTGCGTGGTGAAGCTGGCTGACATAGTATGACGACAAGACTTCCTTAGTGCCGAGCCCAGACACGTTAGAGCTATGCCCCTCTTGATGATTTTTGAGTGCGCCGAGCCGTAGTCTAGAATGGCTTTCTTGGAACGTGGGCTGTACGACCAACAAACATGGGTGTCCCCCAGGTGGAGTGAAAGATCCAGGTACTGAAGTATGTTTTCTTTGGGCACCTCAAATGTAAACTTAAGGCCGCCTCCGTACTCAGCAAAGGTCTCCATAATGTCTGCTACTTGTATGTTCATACGTTCGTCATCTTGAAGAATTACCAGGAAGTCGTCAACATACCTGGCGACCTTGTTCACATTTTTGCCTTCAAGCGCACTTTCTATCACACAGTCCACTGCTCCCAAGTAGATGTCACTAAGGACTGGGGCAACGCAGGAACCGATACAGACTCCTGACTTCTGCAGATAGCACCCATCCCGCCACCCAACTATCATAGACTTCAGGTAGAACTGTAGAAGCTCCATAAAGCTCTCAATGGGTACTCCGCTGGAACTTCGGAAAGCGAGCTCTCCATTAGCTTCTATACAATCCTTCACCGAGGTCAGTAGCTGGTCGTGTGGCAAGGAGTAAAAAAGATTCTCCACGTCAATGCTGAAAGCGGTTCTCTTCTCAGGACCCCCTAATCGGAGATATTCCACTATCTCCTCAGAGTTGGCAACCCTGAAGGGGTCTCTAATGCTTAGGGCGGACAGTTGTTTTTGAAGATAGAAAGCAACTTGCTTTTGCCACGATCCCTTTTCTGTGACAATGGCTCTAAATGGACAGGCCTCTTTATGTGTTTTTACGCTAAGCGGTTGGAGGTAGGCCCTAAGTTTTGCTACGAGCCAGTCTTGAGCCCACCGGAGTTTGTCACACTAGCCAAGAAAGTAGCATACCGGACAGTAGAGGAGGACCGACCAAGGTGCATCTCTGAGTGCGTGGATAACCTTCAGGTTCCGCAAAAAAGAGGACCAGTGGGACCGTTTAGGCCCTTGGTAGAATACATGGTCACTAATGGACTACGCGTCCTGTTATCTGATAAGGAAGGACATTTTGTAGTGTTGCCAGATGGCCAGTACAACGAAAAGGCCAGGGCAGCTATTGAGAAAAATTTTAGACCGGTGCAAGTCGCCCTGAAGAAAACCAGAGATAAAGCAAAAAATCTGTGTGAGCGGCTAGCGTTAACCCAGTTAGCCGCAAGAGTTGGGAAAGCAGAGCGCTTACACCTCGAGGTCTTCTTCAGCGTAAAAACACATAAAGAGGCCTGTCCATTTAGAGCCATTGTCACAGAAAAGGGATCGTGGCAAAAGCAAGTTGCTTTCTATCTTCAAAAACAACTGTCCGCCCTAAGCATTAGAGACCCCTTCAGGGTTGCCAACTCTGAGGAGATAGTGGAATATCTCCGATTAGGGGGTCCTGAGAAGAGAACCGCTTTCAGCATTGACGTGGAGAATCTTTTTTACTCCTTGCCACACGACCAGCTACTGACCTCGGTGAAGGATTGTATAGAAGCTAATGGAGAGCTCGCTTTCCGAAGTTCCAGCGGAGTACCCATTGAGAGCTTTATGGAGCTTCTACAGTTCTACCTGAAGTCTATGATAGTTGGGTGGCGGGATGGGTGCTATCTGCAGAAGTCAGGAGTCTGTATCGGTTCCTGCGTTGCCCCAGTCCTTAGTGACATCTACTTGGGAGCAGTGGACTGTGTGATAGAAAGTGCGCTTGAAGGCAAAAATGTGAACAAGGTCGCCAGGTATGTTGACGACTTCCTGGTAATTCTTCAAGATGACGAACGTATGAACATACAAGTAGCAGACATTATGGAGACCTTTGCTGAGTACGGAGGCGGCCTTAAGTTTACATTTGAGGTGCCCAAAGAAAACATACTTCAGTACCTGGATCTTTCACTCCACCTGGGGGACACCCATGTTTGTTGGTCGTACAGCCCACGTTCCAAGAAAGCCATTCTAGACTACGGCTCGGCGCACTCAAAAATCATCAAGAGGGGCATAGCTCTAACGTGTCTGGGCTCGGCACTAAGGAAGTCTTGTCGTCATACTATGTCAGCCAGCTTCACCACGCAAGTAGAGAGGCTAACAAAAGCCGGCTATTCGTCAGCCCTACTGGCGGATGTGGCAAACGCTCTGGTCAAGAAGGCAAAAGGCTTCCAGTCCAACAAGACCAGTGTCAAGCAAACAAGGCCAGTTGTAATACCGTACCTTCACAGGATGTCCCATAATTTAAAGAACGTCGCAAGCCGCTATGGGGTCAGAGTAGTTTTTTCAGCACCACAAAAAATGAGCCAAATTTGCAATAGAGTGAATGCGCATGCTGAGGGTACCACAAAACCCACGTGCACCAAGAAGCATGCAAACGAATTCCTACCATGCGCTTCGGGCGTCGTGTATAAGATACCTCTTTCGTGTGGTAAGAGCTACATAGGCCAAACGGGCAGATGCCTCAATGACCGCCTCCGGGAGCATGATTACTCCTTGAAGGCTACAGTGGGCGGAAATCTTCCTCTCCATTGCAGGGAATGCACATGCAGACCATTATTCCGTGAGACCAACATCCTGGGGAAGAACAAAGACAAATTGACCCGCGAGGTATTGGAGGCCTTCTACATCCTTCGCGAGGACAGGAACTGTATCAGCGTTGAATCCGTTACGCTAACAAACGAGGAAAGGAAATTCCTTGAACAAACAATGAAGGGCCCGCACGAGCCTGGATGAACTAGCCGCTATCATTCACGGGGCTGTGGCAGGTGCACGAGTCCGCGGCGGATTATTTAGGTGTTTTCTTTCTCTTCCCTTTTTCTTAGTAAACGTAGTTGTGAGTAGCGCTCTTTTCTGTCCTGTCCTTCTTCTTCCTACCTTGTGCGCTAAATACCTCAATATGTTAGACTACCAACTAGCCCAAATGTCAACTTTACTGCTATTGACGCAAAGCACACTGGCGTTGAACCAACGGTGCCAACGTTCACGAGCAGCTTGATAGACGAGTTCTACAACTTATTAAAATAGCAAATGTGCTTGTAACGGACTGCAAAAAAGTAATCGGGGTTCTCTTGGCCCTACTGTAAACCCTCAATGTTTTTTTCTGTAGTTTTTGATACGTACTTTAGCTATTAAACATCTTATATTCTACCTCCATCAATCCTTTCGCAAAAATCAGGGCCGCCAGTTCGAGGTCAGTCCGCAGTACGTCGAACTGAAGTTTTGGCGTGTCTTATATGCGACAAGGCGTGAAATGGCTACACCCTTTTGTTTTAGAGTATGGGACAGTCCGGATGACTCTGTCGCGAGGTAGTGGTGTAACTGGCTCGGTTGCCGCACCACTGGGGATACGGTCGCAGGTGACATATTGCTTCAGTACCTTCTTTACCAACTATCTTTTCTCGGACGATCCAGAACTCTTCCCTAGGTTCTGCCAGAGTCACCACTAGACCAGCATGCAAAGGTGGTCGATGCGCGACATTGATAAAAATCTCGGTGAAACGATGTTGTTAAGAAAAATAATAGGATGATTGACATCGTAGCAGAGGGCAGCATGGCCAAAGCGCCCTCCAAACCTCAGTATTACGTCTTTGTCTAGGTAGGCTTTTAAGTACCGCAGCGGATAGTTTCTTTCCGTACGTGCTGAGCGTGAATGCATTGGAGCTATTTTTGAAAGTATTAGAGTTGAAATTGCATAATCAAACACGTTCGAGCTTGTGATACTTCTGTCGTTAATGGTCTCTGGCGCTTCTCGTTGGGGTGCCTGGAGGTTTGCGAGAATCGATGTAACTAGGAGACTTCTCAATCAAGCGTTGAGGGGGAACTGTGCCGCTACTGATTCAAGACCTGATCTTCATTTAGTGCTATCCGGTAGGCGTGAACTGTTCTATTTTATTCATCAGCGGCGGTCTTTTAGCCCGTTCCTTCATAGGTTGGCCAGCAAGTGGGCGCTTTTTTAAGCTTCCAAGGAAGGGCCACCTCACACCGTTCGTCCACAAGCTGGATGGACGATGTCAGTGCCTTGATGAGTTCTTGACCACTTCTTTTATGAAAGGTTCGGTTCGGTTATGCCCATGCTCTCCAACTCCCAAAACAACCGAGGCTTGGTGTACAATGAGCATGTGTTTTCAGTCACGCAGGATCGGAGTACTGCAGCAGTCGAACAGGTGTGGGAAACTGCTCCTTGAAGTGTCCACCCAAAGTTCGTCTTGACAGCAGCCAGTGCACCTAGCAGTTTCTGTACCTCACCTGAGACCAGAGCACAGTAATAGTAAGCATCGATCAAAATACAAATACCCAGCCTCCTTAAGTGGGCTGGTGCGACGCTCACGTCTGCCAGTTCAGGAATCCTTGTCCTGACTCCTTGCAGAACACTGTAAGGCAGGACAAGCTGATCAGAGCGAATCTCTGGTGTCTCCAGGGTTTCCACGCAATGTTACTTTCCGCTGTACTGGCTCCTAATCTAATTTTGTACACGTCTATGTTTCTCTTTCACGATATTTCCTTCCCACAAAGGCGTATATAGTAACCTCCTCCTAACCAATAACTTCGAGCTGCAGTTCACGTGACACTTAATTTATCACGAAATTGCGTTAGCTTCCTCTGTGTAAATGGACACGAACGAGTGTTCTTCGTTGCTTTCGTTCTGATCAATCTTGAGCCTTTCGGAATAGCACAGTACGCCTTTTGGTGCTCTTCTTGCCTCTCGCAGGGTGCAACTGAGCTGCGGCGGTGTTGTTACTTGGCTCCCAAGTCGGGTCACACACTTCAGTCATGTGCCTCCTGCCGCATTGTTCGCACTTACTTTTGTTGTGGCATTCCTTAGATGCGTGTCTCATGTTCGAACACCGGGAGCACCAGCCTTCTCCTCAAAGCCTCGTTTCCTCTTCATCTAGAGAAAAGATTATGGCAATCTTGAGTCACGTGATTCTTTGCAGTGGAGAATGCACGAGATTCAGGATGCATGGAGCGGCTTGTCAAGTAAAGTGAAGCAGCCGACACTTTGGAAATCAGAGCCCTTCCACCCTCTGTTCTATCGTTGTGACTTGTACTGTTGCATTCTCGTTGACAAGTTAAACTTTTTACTCAACTCTCCATCTTCATCTTCCGAAAACGTTGTAAGCTCTCTATTTTCAGACTGTCATCTTCTTTGTCTGAGGAATATCGACACTTGTGATTCTCGACCACAAAATCTGAAGGCAGCATTTTCAGTAGTGCAGAGCAGAGCACGGCTCCGTAACTGTTGTTCATGGCTCCGAGAGCCGTGAGAGCAGGGATGTTACGCAGCAAGTGATAATAGAGACTTCATAAGGCGCTCACCTTGTTTGGAATTACGTACCGCTGACAAGTCAAGCAGTAGGGTGAGGTGTTCTTGAATTAGAGCATCTGGTCGACTGAAGCACTCTCTGAAGAGTTCGATGAGTGTGTTGAAGTTCTCACCCTTGACTTGAATACCAGCTACCGCTGCTTCTGCATTCAACGTGAGTGCCGATGGAAGGTAACTAAACTCCTCGGCGCTATACAGTGAATCATTGTCATGAATGGCTTATTTGAGCTGTTCCCAGAACGGTTGCCAATCGGTTCCTGCACCATCCAATCGTTAGAGTTCCAGTTTTGGAAGCTTCACCTTCGAAATTACGACGTTTCCATTGCCGTTGTGGTGAACACGCGTTGTATTAGCTTCAGTCCTATGTTCGTTGGGCTTCCTATTTTTCTTGGCTAAGCTTGGCGATGTAGGTGGTGCTTCGATCTTTGCATTTGATCGTGCGAACGTAGTTCTGTTCTGCGTCCCCCTCCAGTACTAGTGGTTCAACGGCCATATTCACGTTGTTTTGTTGTAGCTGAAAGGAACCAAGCCTTATAGATGGTACGTTCATACTTCGCTCGTCTTCATGGTTCTTGTTGGATGACTCTATGTCGGAGACCAGTTTTGTCATCTGGTACCTCAGGTATGTTATTTTCTGCTTGAGACGTTCCATCCTAGCGCCTTTGAGATTCGTTGCCCTGTTTTTGGATCCGAGTTATTAAAATTCTCCTCTAAGAGACGGGCTCCACTCCAATTCTCACCAACAACAAACGAACAAGTAATGTTTATTTCGATCTGTCTGGCGAACTTCGCCCGAGTTTCTTGAAGCACTGCTCCTGGATGAACGTTGACAATTTTACACTATTAGAAGTTTTTTCAGTATTCTTTAGCTTAACATTTTCTGAATGAATTAGCTTTTCTCACTACTTCCGGTTAATGGCACTGAGTTCTGCTAAGTAAGATATTAATAACTTGGCGTTATATAACATACCTGCTGTATTCCACGTTTGCAAATTGTAACTTCACCGGAATCACGTCATCACGTTCAGTTTCTGAAACACTGCAGCTTGCTATTCCTATTAGTTTTATCAATAAGCCTAAGTTATTTTTTCCCCTCAGCACTAGAGGCCGCTGTATTTTTAAGCAATGTTATATCTGCAAACGTTGCTCAGCTAATTATTAGCATGCAGACACAATGTGACAGAAAAGTAAATTAGAAACTTGCGACTCCTGGTAAATTTGATATTAGCTGCTTTTGGACAAACACTAAACGAAGTAGCCAATGATCGAACGAAATAAAGTAGAATTATTCCGTCTTCCTCGTTGCCAAGCTGGGACGGTTTGCATGGCAAATGAAATTTGTTGGTGCGATCATTTTAGAAATCCAATGCTAGGCCGTGCACTTTCGCTAGGCACAATGCAACCAGAAACAAACGAAAATGTCAAAGCTAGAGTTGCTGATGGCTCAATGTATCCACTCTTCTCGCTTCTTTATTCGAGTTTCTGCGTTCTTATAGACCAGCTCAACTCCCTCTCGTCATGCCATTGCGATGGCGCTGCTGCCGGCATTGCATCTGTGCAGACACATCAATAGATAATAACAAGGGAGTGCTAAGTTATAACGTCACCTAAAGAGGCAAACGCGGGGCACCGACTGCGTGCGAGTACTGCATCAGCATTCGGAAGAAAACCGTGCTGAATCAGTGACGACACGTGCTTCAGCTAAACGCTGGCGGAGAAGTCGTGTCTATCACCTCTTGCTGCTATCTAAAATGGCGTCGTCTGCCGGGAGAGGAAATAGAAACATTTGAGGTTGATGATGTTGACTAGGACGAAAGCTGAGAGCAGTCAAAGAGTTTATAATATTTTGTTTTACCATAAGTTTAGACGCAGCCGACGCTAAGAGCAGAGGGGGCCAATCGGACAGCGTCAAAACCGCACCACCATGGTGTTCGACCCGCTTCTGTAGGTGTTCTACTATCGCTAAAATAATTATAAGCAGAACATGCCTAGCGTATTGGGGTTTTGACGCTGCTTGATTGATTAGATTAGAGCGCAGCCTTGGCTGCGTCTGGATTTCAGCTGAAACGAAGTATAGGGAAATGCATTCTATTCCGCTAATTTATATTAGACAGCGCGCCTACAGCATCAAATCCCCGCCTAGCGGTCGAGACAGTCCTCGTCCGATAGGACGGATGCGGATCGCGCGGATGCGGATCGCCCTGTTCACGCTGTCGGGCCCTTGTGATGCACCCAGGCAGAGGGCTGCCGCCGACGCGCCGGTATACGAGATACGACAAGACAGCAGACACGGTTGTCTCCGCTGCCTCGAAGGGTGCCCACGGCGATAGATGTCGGCGGCCACCCCCTCCATTCCAAAAGGGAAAAGCCAGTGGCTGCGCGTGTCCATCCGTTCCAATTAAGCGAAAGCTGTCGACTCCAAGGCCATAGGATTTTCACGGAGTAAGATGTATTATCTAGTACAACGTTTTGTAGAAGGATTCGCGTTACCTTCAGTATAAGGGGGCTTTAGGCTAAAGTGTCTTACTTCAAACTTCAAGGGTAGCATCCACTCCAACCAAGCCACAGATGAGCTTACGAACGTCTTTTATTTACATCCCTAGAAGCACATCTCATGCATCCAGGTATTAATATTAAATTCGCAAACTTAGGCGCGCTTGGCGAGGGTGTAGGTCAGGGGAGCGTGGGCAACGGCGAAGGAGACTGGTGCGGCGTGGAAGGCAACTGGTGCGGCGTGCACGGCGTGCACGGCGTGGACCACTGGGGCAGCGTGGACGGTCTTCACGACGACAGGGGCGGCCTTCACGGCAACTGGGGCTGGGCCCTCAACGGCGGAGGAGGCGTACTGTACGTCGGCTGGGGCGGAGGACTTAGTGCCTGGCTCGTTGGTCTCGACGGTGGCGTGGAAGCCGGTGGCGTCAGCGGTGTACTTAACGGTACGGGCGATGCCGGAGGCGTCGGAGTAGCTGTAGGATCCCACCCTAGCGTTGTTGGCGTCGGCGCTCTCCTCGTGGGCGATGCGGGTGCCGAACTCGTCGGTGTTGTCATAGGCAAAGCTGTATGGCTGAGGTGGCTGCAAGGGTGAAAGGACAAATGAGCTGCTTTGTTCTCTTCACGAGCACCCTTAATCTTATGCCTTAGTGCGGATCACGGAAAACTTACGACGAAGAATAGCGGCTAAATATTTATTTACTTCCTTTATATTCAAATCAATCAAAAGAGTCATCAGTATCTGATCCAGGAATATTCATTTGGAGTAATGATCTATGTGTTACATGGGCCAGATGGTCAAAAATATTACGTAACAACTTCCTATATGTTGACAAACACAACATCAACGAACTTTTCAATAATATATTTGCATGAATACGGTAAATCTGTCTGATTTCACACTACGTAACGTTTCAGTGCTTACAAGCTTTAAAGTGTCCTTTGATCTAAAAGCTTCTTTTGTGTCACCCGAGAAATTCGAGGCCACAGTTTAATATGGTTTCTCCCTTGTAGTAAGATGGGTTGAGACTAATTTGTTAATTGCCTTGCCATTTGTTACTCTCATTTATTAAAAAAAAAAGATTCAGCTTGAGATCATTCTGAGATAACTCCTACAGGGTTGTTTCAGAGTTCAACAATAAATCCAACTGGTAGTCTGATATTCTAAAAACCTGGCACAGCAGACAAAAAACTTCTAATTACAGAAATGGTTGTGTGTTTATTTTTTTTCTCTGTAACTTTAGTATATAAACGTTTTTAGAATAAGCTGGCAAAAACTACTCACCAGTAAAAAAAAATGAAGACGTATCCTGAGAGGTGATTTTTAGAAAGAGTGAAACTGAGTGTAACACACTAGTTTTACTAATCATACCGCTCCCTGCAACAGAAAGGCGCATCGCTTGATAAGACATACGAAAGCGTTTTTTTTTGTTATTTGTGCGCAACTAATGACTACATCTCCATAATAAAAAGAAACAATTTTCTACTATTTGAACCTGCCTCACGAAATTAGTTTGCCTCGGCTCTATAAACCTTTGAAGAAATAATATAGCTTTCACTTGTTTTCCCTTTGTCGTGCATGACGTTGCTTCACTTACGTATTCTTCCACAACGCCGGCAGCCACGTAGGCGAAGAGGCAGCACAGAAGCACCTGAAAGAAGACAGTAATCCATGAGCGAGCTATTTCTTCCAGTGGACCGGCAGATCACATCAGATAACCAAAGGTCCCAAAAACTGTCCGCAAAGACGGCGCACCTTGGAGAACATGGTGGAAGGTGGAAGATCTCTTCTCATTCACAACGAAGGGTTAGATTCAAGGTATCTTCTCCGCGACGCTTTTATACTGATCTTAGGCATACCGACCGTGGCATATCTTTCCTTTAACCAAGTGATTGACCAATCAGAAGAATAGGATAGCCTTTTTTAAACTCTTGCCACGTCCAGATGAAGCATGTCGTCATCTTTGAGATATCGCGAAAAGGACAGTGCCGGCAGGCATTATACAAGAAAGCGGAGAGTCGGCGCCGCTTTGGTATGCTGGGCGTGACTATCTCCCATTCGTAATTACGAAATGAAACTAAAGGAACTAGCTTAATAAGAATACACCACCCTACCGTCAGTGGCTCTTTTGCCGGATACTTCTAATTTAATTACAATGACTAAGTAAATGTTGGGCAAATAAGTGTATCAATTGTCTGGATTCAGTAACCTGGCTATAATTCATATAGAAGGCACCAACACTACTGCTACTAGTACTACTGCTAATAATAATAATAAATAATAATAACAATAATAATAATTTTATTTGCCCATCACAAATGCAATGTTATATGTATGGGCACATCAAAGCCAGCTAAAGGTTTGTGTGATGACGCCCTAAAAGAATAAAAAAGAACAATAGGATCGGTAAAAATGCAAAAGTAGAAGAAAAAAAAAAAACACGACGAAGCAAAGGAAAACATTACCAGGACAGAAAGCTACACATACATGTCATCAGAACTATTAGACCAATAGACATGAAAGTATAATCAGCGACAAGCAAAATTGTCGATAATCTTAGCAAAAAAAAGTAAGTAAAAACTAAACAATTTCAGCAGAACTATACTGAAATGGAAACACGACGTTAGGAAAAGATATTAAGGAAAAGAAAAGTAGAAGGAAAAGTCGTAACTGTCATCAGACAGTGACAAAAAAAAAAACAGTCAGTGAATAAGCAAATTAATACACACATGAAAAAAAACCAAAAAAAAAACAGAAAGCAAATTGAAACACAGTTACAAAATGACACTACATGGCACGAGGAAAGCAAATAAATGTAAAATAAAATGCCAGAAGTCATAGAAATATCATCACAGTCATTGGGGAAGAAGGGGCCAGAGAAAAAAATAATAATAGCCCTGCAAATTCGCTATGCACACACTGGTACTAGGCTTGCATTAACTAATATCCAAGTCAACACACTTAAGTTCCTTCTTCAATGCTTTCGGTGAGGTGATGTCCAGGATTGAGTCCGGCAGAGCGTTGAATAAACTCGGAACATAATAATCGCGCGTGCATTTACCATAACGGGTCCAACAACGTGGCACCTTGAAACGAGGGGTGCATCGCAAAGGGCGAGACGGAAGTGACATGGTTTTGAAATCCTTATTCCAAAAGTTGCGTAATATAACAGTTTGAATATACAGTGAACATAGGTTTGGCAATTGGAGAGCTTTGAAAATATCCATAGTTGTTGACAAAGGGTGTATTATATGCACCCCTAGTGAGTATTCCTCTCAGTAGGGTATTATCTTTGGTTTGCAAGTGTCTAGAACAATTTCCAAAAACGGTTACGCTGTACCGAATGACACTGTAAGCAAGTGCGTGAGCTATCATCAGCCTTATACCAACTGGTATAAAGACTAGTGTTGTAACGCATGCAGGATACAGCTCGTATTTTGCTACATAAGTATTGAATATGTGTGTTCCACGAGATATCAAAATCAAAATAAACACCCAAGTATTTAACATAATTAACCGACTCAATTGGTATACATGTACATGGATCACATTTAGACCGGTGAAGAAGAAACGTTACATTAGTAGGATGGCTTTTGAGAGGATTACGAAAATAAACTAGCTCTGTTTTAGACTTATTAATGTCCATCATGTTTTCAGCAAACCAGTCCATTATATGGGTAGCATTCTCTTCAAGTGTTTTGAAAGAGTCATGGAAATTAATATGATGCGACACAAGAAGGGTATCGTCGGCGTATTGGCAGAGCGTGCATCCACTGACGACACTACCCATGTCATTAACAAAAATGTTGAGAAGTAGAGGCGATAACACTGAACCTTGAGGCACCCCCGCCTTAAGAGGAAGAAGAGAACTCTTTAAGCCACCGATTGACACGAGTTGAGAACGGTGAGAAAGGAAGTTTTCTAGTAAAGAATAAAAAGGTCCACGAAAATCCAGGCGATGTAATTTCCTTAGGAGCAGTTTGTGGTTAACAGTGTCAAAGGCCTTAGACAGGTCAAGAAAGAGCGCGCATGCGAACATATTATTTTCAAATGTGGAATATAAGTTATCAGAAAAATCTTCAAGGGCTGGCTGCGTGCCTTTTCCAGCAATGAAACCGTACTGAGTTGGTGAAAAGATTTCATTTGCATCCAAAAAGCTAAGCATCGACTGAAAGAGGTGTTTCTCGAGACTTTGGCCTAAAATTGGTAATAAAGAAATAGGGCGATAATTCTCGATTTTCGATCGGGCGCCTCCTTTGAAGATGGGTCTGACAATGGCAACCTTTAGGCCATCAGGTATGTTGGCAAAAGTAATAAAGCTATTAAGCATGACTAGAATAACATCCTTACTTCGTGTGAAATATCTCTGCAGATCATATGCGCGAATGCTATCAGTCCCAGGGGACTTGCTTGCTTTGAAACTAAACAACATAGAATGGAGATCAATCTCATTTAAAGAGGGAAGAAAAACTGACTTTAAGGACGTATCATTCAGTGTGCACGAGTTATCAACACACGCCAGAAAATTTAGCAAAGAAGTTGTTGAAATCGTTGCTAGTGAGAATGTGAGTGAACCAAAATTTCTTTCGACAGCGTCATCAATGGAACGCTCAGCACCAGTACCTCGAGATTGATTAATCAGCGACCATGTCCTAGCCGAGCTAAACCTTGATTTCTCAAATTTTGGTATGAAATATATTCGCTTTGCAGAGCGAATTACTGCGTTTTCCTTACTTCTAACTTGTCGAAACTCATTACGCAAATCATTGTTATTAGGAGACCTCCGGCATCGTTTCCAAAGAAGGTCCTTTTCCTTAATTAGTTTAAGGATATAAGAGCTGAGCCACTGACGGTTAGGTCTACGTCTACTTAGAATTACAGTTATTTTTGCAGATTCGGTAAAGTTTTTAAAAGCCTCCACGAACCTTGGATACACGTTGGTAGTGTTAACTGAACTTAGAAAGCCTTTCCAATCATACGAGGCAACCAATTTGTCAAACAAAACAATATCAATAAACTAAACTTGTCGTGAAGCTCCACATTCAGGTTCGAAAGCTAAATTATCTGTTAGTCGACATGCCACGAAGTAGTGATCGGCTAACTTTTCGAGAATTACAGCAGATTCCACTTGAGCATTCGCAGTTCGTATGGAAATGTGGTCAATGCATGAAAAGACTAATTTGGTCCCTAAGATCTCTTCTCGTGTTGGAGCCGAAATAACACATTCAAAAGCAGAATTAGATAACATATTTAAGTAGTCACACACAATAGGGTTCGTTGTGTTTAATACGTTGATATTAAAGTCGCCTACCAGACAAGGGTATTGCATAGAGGAGAAATTGCAAAGTGTTGATTCAAGCTCACCAAGAAACAGTCGAGCACTTTCCGCAGAGGCCTATAAATACAAAGAAGAGAAATAGAGAAATTCGAATTATCAAGTTTTAGGGAAAGGACCTCACTGTGAGAAAAATTTAAATCGAGGTGAGAAACTTGCCATATTTGAGGAACATATGCCGCAATCCCCCCGCCACTGCGTTTCGATCGTGTGGAAAAAAAAGTATTGTAATCTGTAAGGGCGTATTGACACAGCATAAACTCCAGAATATTGATTTCTGTAAAAATAAACGCATCGACATGAAACATTATGTTTCGAACGATTATTCGAAAATTATCCCAGTATTTGCGGAGGCTTGGTATGTTCACGTGCAAACATATAAAAGTGCTCTCCTTTCTTTTGTTGAGCGAAGTCTGAAAGTACAAGAAGTTACTATACTGCGCAAATGTAGCTGCCAGGTTTAAACCAATTCAATATCCCCTACGGAGGCAATCCATAGGACAGTTGTACTGTCGCTTTTTTGTGCATAGATTTGCCCGTTTTTCGTCCAAATGTACTTGTACTGCTTCTTCTTTCCTTTCATCCTCGCCTTCCAGAAAAGCTCATGGTTAGACCGAGAGAGGTTTTTGTTGAAAAATATTTTGGGTGCCAGTCCGGCGTGGCTGAGTTCCCCTAGTCGCCCATGGCAACCCATCCATTGTTCCTTTAGGGAAACCGACGCAAAGCTGACCAAAATTAATGTAGCAGTGCCAGGTTTGTCTGTTTTCTTAGGGGGTAGACGCCGAGCGGAGGGAACGTCAGATGGTTGAAATTGGGAGAGGCCGATCTTCGAGGGAAGATCACACAGAACCACACTCAAGTTTTCTTTTGGAGTGGAGGGTAGGCCCTGAATTTCCATATTAGACAAACGCTGTTGTTAGTCGAGCTCATTGATTTCTGTCTGAAGCAGGCAGATAGAATTAGCCTGTTCGTTCACCGTGTTCCGAAGTGTCCCGACTTCGGCCTCCATGTTCTTTGTCAGTTGTTTTTGAGCTGCGAGGTCTGACACCACGGAGCCATACTTGTCGTTAAGGAAAGTAACTGACTTCTCAACAGCGTCAACGGTAGTCCGCAGCCATTCCACTGCGGATCTCAACGCCAGGAGAGCGTCGACTTTTGCTGGCAGGGTAAGAAGAGTGTCAACACTTTCTTTTAAAGAAAGTAGCATATCCAGCTTTTGGTTGACAGATGCAAGCTGCGCCGAGAAAGCGAAGGGGTCGTCTTGAGACACAGCATCCGCAGCCCCTGCGCCCGAGCGACTGTCACCACTCCGACATCTCCTACATCTCCACTTCTCACGTTTTGAGGCACCCATCGTCGTGAAGGTAGCGTCGGCAATACCAGCACACTGTCCCAAATGAAGGACGCTATGACATTCCGCACACACTTCATGTCTTCCATCCTTCGGCTCGGACACATCACACACATCACAGACGGTAGG